TCATCCGGAAGGAACTATCTTGTCCGCTCCTGAGCATGGAATATTCTTCTGGGACGCGAGTAGTTGCCTTCGATTTTTCCGAGCTTCTGAGATAGCTMTAGCTGATTCTCAGCTATTGCGCGTAATACTGAGTGTGATCAAAATTGGTGAAGCCGGAAGAGTCTTCTATACCTTGATCTCGGATGAACTGAAGAGAAGAGATGTTCTTGCAGTGGCTGATTCAAATACTATGGAAGTAGACGATGATTGCTAGCTTGCCTATGTGACTTCTTCTTCTTGAACTACTTTCTTCATGTAAGTATTTAATTCATTGTCTAGTGTAAATGCAATTTGATTTTTTCAGTATTTACTTCAATTTTTTCATTCGTTATTTGTTTATCTCTGATTCATTATTTGTTTGTATATATGTTTATAGTTTAACAAAAAAAAAAACCCAAAAAGAATATGTACATGGGTCACATAATTTATAAGTTCTTCTTCTCAAAGAATTTTAGAGTTTGTGTTTCYTGTATTTATTTCTTTCTAAGTGTTTGTGCCATCATCAAATAGGGGGAGATTGTTGGGTCACCTATTGATTTGGTGATGACCCACTGATTTGTTCCTCTACCTTAGCAACACTTAGTAGTTATTGGTTCTTTGTAAGTTGATGTCTTGGTACATACTTAAAGYCATTGGCAAAATCGAAGACTAGCCGATGTGAAGACATAAGGTCACCGATGCGGTGTTGTGGATCAACTGTCTAATATACACACCAAGACTCTGAAGTAGCTGAAATGCATATTGAAAATATTTTGAAGCTACAAGCCGATTGAAGGAAGATCTTCATAGACCAAAGATTGAAAATCTTCATGGACTCAAGATTGAAGATCATGGACCGAAGATTGAAAATCTTCATGGACTCAAGATTGAAGATCATGGACCGAAGACTGAAAATCTCCATGGACCGAAGACTTGTGTGTAGCTGCTTGAAGCTTCATATCCATCCAAAGGAGATCTTCCTACAGACTGACCATATCTCTGCAAGGTTTGTCTCTGCATGAACTGTGCAAGTTTGTCTCTGCATGAACTGTGTTGTATGCATGYAGTGTACGATGAAAATGAGATATCAACATTGGTCAGGTCAACCCCTGCCTTCTTATCCCCAAGTGACAAGTGTCCCCTTGCATTAAATGCTGAAGGCAGTATATAAAGGCAGTGTGCATCTCCCATGCACACACTTGGCTTTTGAAAGATTACTCTGTGCACTCTCAAAGCAATCGGCTATTCCTTTCTACTCCCTTGCTCTCCTGTGTATGAAGACATTCTTAGTGTTCTTCATTTTCTTTCAAGAACTCTCTGTGTTGTTCTTGAAAGTTCTTCTCTTTGTAAGATTGTTTAGGTTAGGTTTTCCTTTCCTATCTTCCGCAACAATCTTTTGTWWYTTCTGTGTGTATTAATTCTTGATATAAATCAATAAGAATTAAAAAGTTGAAAAAATCTGTGTAATTGTATTCAACCCCCTCCCTTTTACAATTACTTTCTGTTTATTGCCTTACCCTTCGGGACTAACAGTATCAGTGACGAAATAAACCCTAAAACCAACTAGCAATGATGAAATAAGTAACCAAACTCAAGTAATAATGACGCAATAAACCCTAACTTAACTCACCTTTGAAAACCTCCACATAATCGCTTGAAAACCTCCACAGAATCGCCTGAATCGTGCTTGATCGTGCTTGAAAATCGCCTGACAGGAGCGATCATTTATAAACACTCGCAGTCGCCTGAATCGTTGCCTTGGGGATTGAATCGTCATTTCTGTAATCATGGAGCGTGGAGCGTTGCGTCGTTTGGAAGCGATAGAGAGAGCGCGATAGAGAGAGACGAACGTTTGGAGGGCAGTGTTGCGTTGGAAAGGGAAGTGAGAGTGGAGCGTGGAGCGTCGTTTGGAAGCGATAGAGGGAGCCGGACATGTGTGCTTCATAGGTAGTACTAAATGCATAAAAAGTTGGTTTTAAGACTTTAAGACTTTATGCATTACAAG